GTACAGATAACCTACCTGTGCCGACCTACCGGTGCTCTAAACTAGTACTCTCTTCGGGAAAATATGTAAGACCAAAAAACATAGTTGAGGTTTAAATATAAATTTGATAACTTCAATAGTTTAGCAATAACCATCATTTTAGTAGTCAAATCTGATGGACAAAACTTTTTTCGAAATCTGATACTTTGTGGATCACGCCTATGTAAATCCAATGCTTTTATACACTAAAAATAAATTTCACCTAAAAGTGAAATATTTCACTAAAATATTTCACGAAAAATAAATTTCACTGAAAATACCAACCTTACTTATAATTCATAAATTCTTAAAATTAAATTAAGTTTTACAAAAAATAATTATAAGCAATTATTAACATAATCTTAAAATTGCTCGTATGATCTAGGTGCAAGAAAGGTCTATGTGACTTTTCTCGTATAATTATTAATATACATTTATGTAATGTTTATAAATTAATAAATAATCATGAAAATGATTTAACACACTATTTAAAACTTTTTTAAAAATTATAATTACTTATATTTAATTATATTTATATAAAACATATGAAATTATAAAAATATTGTTTCAAAACAATAATTTTCAGTTTCTATTCATATAAATTGAAGTTTCTGTTAAACATTTCTGTGAATTTAATCTAAGTTTTGTAATCTATTGTCTTAATTAATTAATCTTAGGAATAATTTTATAATTATAACTTTTATAGGCATTAAGATACAGATACCATTAATTTTATAATTTATTAATTATTCTTTGTACTTTTAATTCATTTATAAGACTTAATATAGTTATTTAATTATTAAAAATTAATAATAATTGAGTTTAACTTTAATTGAAATGCTTTGTTATTTACTTAATTTCATATTAATAAAAATGTTGATACTACTTATATACTATTAATGCATTGATTACAGTTTCATTTATTACGCACATAGACCTTTATAGTACTGGCCTATCCATATATATAAATGTATACATGTATATTATGCACAGTATAAATTCACATTCACATTTAATTATATCAATGACAGTTATTTAACAGGGACTACATTTTTGATAACTTCAAAAAATGTTTAACAATATTAAATCTATACAGGTAGTATATGATTTGTGGATTATTATAGTTCCATGTATATTATACATTGTATAAAGGTAAATCCACACTATTTACAAAATTCTGAGGTGGATCATTTAATTGTAATAATTTATTAACAGATACTTTACGCGAAACTTTGGCTATTGGGCCAAACGAGGCATACGGGGCCCGAAGCCTGTGATTGGTTTCGGAAATATAATAATTAAGTACTCAAATGCCGTGAATACCGGTGCGAAGTGACCAAAAAGGGTCGTCTTTACAAAGGTTGCCGTAGTTATGAGGACCCAAAACAGAGCCAATGGTTTGACACATGTTTTGACGTAAATATTATCGTATATTTGGCGGACATCTGAAGTGGTTTTCATTAAATCGCCTAATATTAGGCCATTCAGATAGGATGGGCCGTAATGGTAAGGCTTGACGTGTAGTAGATTAGCAACGGAATGGGTTTTCCTTAATTGAATAGGAAATATACAATGATTTAATATGAACAGGGTAGATACAAAATAATTACAGTTCTACTTTACTTACAGAAACCCATTAAACAGATTGTTGGTGGGTGCTAAATCATGGGCCGACATTTGTGCCACAAAACCATTTGAGTAAAACGTGTAGAACTCAATGACCATGAACATTATGTGTCCCATGATTATTGCCCTTAGTCCATTTCGATAATTCCTATTTATATAGATTATATAAATTAGATTAGATTATATAATATATAAATTAATATAGATTTTAACTTTTAACTACTTAATTATTATATTTCCGAAACCAATCACAGGCTTCGGGCCCCGTATGCCTCGTTTGGNTGTGTCCCATGATTATTGCCCTTAGTCCATTTCGATAATTCCTATTTATATAGATTATATAAATTAGATTATATTATATAATATATAAATTAATATAGATTTTAACTTTTAACTACTTAATTATTATATTTCCGAAACCAATCACAGGCTTCGGGCCCCGTATGCCTCGTTTGGACCAATAGTCAAAGTTTCGCATAAAGTATCTGTTAATAAATTATTACAATTAAATGATCCACCTCAGAATTTTGTAAATAGTGTGGATTTACCTTTATACAATGTATAATATACATGGAACTATAATAATCCACAAATCATATACTACCTGTATAGATTTAATATTGTTAAACATTTTTTGAAGTTACCAAAAATGTAGTCTCTGTTAAAACACTGCCATTAATATAATTAAATGTGAAATTGTAGTTTGCAAAATATATGTATGGCAAATAAAATTACTGTATTTTAACAATTTCATATAATTATTTTTGTAAAACTGATTTCTATGTTTATACAATTTATTTATTATAATGATTTGAATGCAAACAATTTTTAATTTGATAATGTTCAAAAAGGAAATAATTTTCAATTTATATAATTCTTAAACATTACATCTACCCAGAGTCATTTAATTAAATGATAGCTGTCATCATAAGTTACTTTGCTTTTATTTTTATAATTTTATCATTATAATATTATTATTTAAATTAGTTGTCAA